TTTCATAATCCCCTAGTATCCACTTTGAGCCAATACACATACATATCGTTTCTTTTAACGTGCCTAAGTTATTCATACCTTTTCACATTGGAATAAAGCCTATAAACATTTCTTTTCTACCTTTAGTGCTTCCAAGTGTATAATGGGTATGAAATGATCATGTGAGAAGAAAAGTAACAGTGAAAGGTAATAAAATTGTTAAGTGCTCAGGTGAAGCGAGAAGAAATGAAAAAAAGAGAAATTTAAATAAAAAAAAGTGATGAAAAAAAGAAAAAGAAAAAAAGAAAGTAAATTGTTGTTGGGAATTGAAAGCTTGAGAATGCATTGATATAAGGATTGATATGTTGAAATACTTGTTGAGATGCCTATCTAGATACTTGAAAGTCCTTAAATTTGTCCTACCCTACTCTTCATATAACCCAACTTAACCCTTTTTACACCCTTTGCATTGACTGTTTTGATCTCAAATCGATTTGTGGTAAGAAGTTGATGAATTCTCAATTGGTAGTATGCCTATCATGTGATTAATGTTCGCTTGTTGCTTGTTCATAAATGTTTAAGCCTCTATGTTTTGAGTGTACATATTTTCCAGCTCCAAAGAGAGAAACCCCGCACTAAACACTTTGATACCCATGAGTTGTGGGGCTGGACCTTTAGCTCGAGACACACTTAATGTTGCATGTGTTAGGGTTGGTGGTAAGATGGCTATGATTTGATACATACTCACACAATTTGTAAGTGCTTTTGATGTCCTGATGATCATGACATGGTTAATCTCTTGTGGTGTTGAGTTTGAAAAAGGCATGGGCTATGATTAAACTAGGACTTAACAATTTGAATTGAAGCATGACCCACTCATTCAATTGTTTTGTTTTGCATTAAAAATTGCTAGGTACTAGTAATAAGCAAGTTGGGGGTGTGATAATATCACAAATTGTTAAGTAATTCATTCATTTATAATTGTATTTGCATGATTTATTGATGCTAAATATACTAGGTACCCTTATATTTTGATTTAGGTCGCAAATGAATGAATATGACGAAAATTAGAAGAAAGGAGCGAAAAAGGACCAAAGTGGAAGAAAATGAAAGTTTAGGGACTAAAGTGCAAATCCTCTACACTTGTGCTTAACCTTATGATGAAGATTCGAAAGTGTTAGGGGTCAAGAGGATGAGGAAAGAGGTCAAAGGGATGAAATATCGTCAAAGTAATGGCCAATCAAAGAAGTTACGCACCAATTTTCAGCCTCATATTGGGACCCTTTTTGACATACCAAACAATTAAGTTAGAAGATGACATCTGAAGAAAAGTTGTAGCTGTTTGAATTAGCTTTCAAAAGCAACTTGAATCACCTCAATCGGACAGTGGGAGGGGAAGTTACAGCCAAAATACTAAAATCTGTCCGGCGGAAAGATATTTATACTATGTGTACGCATAGGCCTGCAGGAGACGCCTCCAGACCCATTCTTTTCACCTTGGTGCTCAAGAAACTCCATGGAAAACTAAGGAATTTGGTGAAGCTACGAAGGAACTCAATCGGTTTTGGTGATTTCGACATCCTTCAATTCATGTAATTCAGTTTTTCATTGTTAAACAATTTTAGAATCAGATTTCTATGTTTTGAATGAGTTTTGACATTAGTTTAACATTTATTAGAATTTTCATAGACTCAGTCGCGCTTTTTCTATCGAATATTCGAAATATTTATTGAATTGCAATTTCAATTATTTAAAATTATTGGTGTGACTCTCTACTGCCTTATGCCTATGTATATAGTCGTTTTTTAATCAGATTTCAATAATTAATTGTGTGAATTTGTTTTTAGGAAACTTGATTTCTAGAATTGCCATAGAATTGAATTTGAGCTTAACGTTATATCTTCCAATTAAAGAGTTACATTTAATGTCTTTAATTGAGTAAAAACATATGAATTGATGATGTTGAATGACACAAACCAGTTGGGGGAATTTCAACACTTCATTTTCCATATACATTGATTTAATTTCACTACGTAAACTTTGATTTCATTCAAACCGTAAAATTTTAAGAGAACCATCACCTTTTGGACTTTTGGATTATTTTCCATTTCTCTGTGGATACGACACCCCAAAACTATACTACAATTACTGCGTTATACTTTGGGCATAATCAGGAGGAGTTGGTTCGAGAGCTGAACCTTGCGGCTCGTGCACGACACGGCGAAAAATGAGCCAAAACTTGCCAAAAATCAATGGTTTGGCGAATTGTTTTTAATCGAACATCTATGGGTGTAGTTGCCTGCTTTTGGTATCTAGCTGCCTGAAAGTATAGGCAACATCAAGTAGGTAGCAGGCTACAGCCTACAACTGCCTACCTTTCAAGCAACTTCAGGCAGCCATGCAGGTAGCAGGCTTCAGCTACTTGCATCCTGCTTTCTGTGACATGGGCCATTTTGGCTGGCCACCATGTCATTTTGGCTGGCCACACGGGCCAACTCAAGCTCGGGCTGTCGTTCAAAAATTGGTCTTGGCCTGAGCTGGCTCAAAGTTTTTCACGAGTTGCTTGAGATAAAAAGCATCTAGATGATGACACGTGGTGTGCATCGGGGTGCAACTAGAACTCACATGTCACATGTGCCACAACTGAAAAAAATTGCAAAATATTTTGCCGGCATTTGAGGACGTGTAGGGGAGGGGCCATTTACAATTTAAAAATTACCTTTTGCTTCCTGAAATATTCTGAATTTTTTTAGTACATAAATATTATAATTTTCAGATTATTAAGTATTTTTAGATATTTAAAGTTTAAAATGTATTTTATAAATATGTAAAACTTATTTTCTGGATTAACTAAAATCTGATAATTTTAAATTAAAATTTAGAATATTTATTTAAGGATTCCATTAGTAGGGTAATTTTCAAAATGCTCCCTTTTTTTAAGTAGAAAAATACTTTAAGAGTATTTTAGACACGTCGTTATTTAAAAATTTTGAAAATTGTATTTAAGTCGAACAAATACCTTTTGAGTTCAAAATTTTTCTGATTTTAGTAATATTTGTTCCCACATTATTTTGTGGTGTTGATCTTGATGTGATTGTGTGATCCATTATAACAAGTTCCCATTTTTCGTGCTTAACCCGATGTAGCTACATGTATGTATACTTTTAACATTTGGAGAGAGAATACTAAAAGACTACTGGTATAGAATGTATCGAAAAATTACACGCTTATTTAAAATAATAAATGGATGTACATTATTTTAATAGATGACGTGAAGTGTATAGAAGGATTACGTATGCTATATTACGGGACATAGTTTTTAGTGATAAGTAGAATAGAAGCATTTTGATGTCACTTTCCATTTGTTGGGACAATATTGCAAGATTATGTTTATAAAACGCATACTAATCAAACTTATAGGATGCGTTTTATTTTTCTATTATATTTGAAACTACTTTGAAAAATAACTAATTTGTGATGATACATGTCATAATTAGATAAATATACATGTTTATGCTCTTATGGCATATTATAAAATTGCCTATTGAATATATGATGTCTATTAATTTATGGATTATCATAAATGCTAAGGTGGGTAGAATTAGTCGTATTCTTCCTTATGGATTAGTATTGAATGATAGTTCATTAATTGGAAAATTTAGATAAAATCTCATCTAAAACTATTTGGTCCACAAATCGAGTGGGAGTTCTCCTATTGAAAGAATTAATGTAATACTCACAAAGAAATATTTGGTCCACCAAAAAAATTTGAAATGTTTCAAATTTGGAATCCGACCAACAATGTGTCACACATAATTATATTCGCTCGTAAAATACAATTTATATCTTTTTGTCTCTAAATTACTTTGCAACATTTAAGTCAATGTTGCATATTCCTGAAGAATCTACAAAGTGATAATATTTTATGGTTACCTTTACGGGAGCGTTCCACCTATCAATACATTTGACAAACTTTTTGACAAATAATTTGAACTCTTAAATTTATAAAAATCTAATGGTCTCAATTAATTATATTAAGATCCTTAAAAATTTATATTCCATATCCAAACGTACTTACCTTTTAAAATCACCAATAATCATTTTTCCCTCCAAAAAATCACACGAAAATCTTAGCAAAAGGCTTTTTATTCATCTCCTCATCGACAGACTTTACCCACCATCTTCGGTAGAACCATCGGCGATTGGCATCTCCCAAAAAAAAAAAAAAAATTTGTTTGTGAAATTGACATCAATGGGGGATTAGGTTGAAGATTCACAGCCTAAAATATGGGCAAGGATTGTAATTACATTTTAAATCTCCTCTTCAATTTTAAACTTCGTTCAATCTCTCTTTCAACTTGAGGATTCATGTAATTGATTCAAGTTCAAATACTCCTCAATTTGACGTCTTGTTCAATTGCACCTCAATTTGATATCTTGTTAATTATTATTATTATTATTTTTTTGTGCAGAATATCCGACTACTTTTCTTTGCAGATAACAAGAAAATCCTTTTCTTCAAATTTTCAAATACTAATGCTGATGCTTCCCAAAAGGAAGTGAATACTTATAATAAGGAGAATTCTCAATTTGTGCCATCGGATCCCAATGGTTCAATCAAAACCGAAAATTTCCAAATACTCATGTTGATATTTCCGAAAACGAATTGGATATTTGTAATGAGAGTTCTCAAATCGTGCTATCGAATCCCAATGTTTCAATTACAAACTAATGAAAGAAGGATGAGAAATCTGCCAAAAAAAATAATAATAATAATAAATAAATTAATAAAAATTCACATTGTTTAAAACGGTTCAAATCAAATATTGAGTTGGCTTTATGTGTGCTCGTCTAACCAAAAAAGATAAACTACCTTTACAATAACAATAAAATTACAAAGCATAGCCTCGACATGCATATTAGTTTCATCAGCATTCACATAAATATGATGTTAAATATAAGATCACTACGCATATTCTACAAAATCATCTACATTAGTGAACATCGAGTTCGAGTACAAATGCAATACATGTACACAATTTTAATTAACAAATAAGCAAAAAACAGTCATCAACATTTGCATGATTTAAAACTTTTCATAATTCTCTGAACATCTCAGGCAAAAGGTTGTTCTCTGAGTATCCGAGTTCTTCGAAAGACGCCACGTCAAAACCGGCTGTCGAATTGGAACATTCTTCAGTGAAGTCGATGATTCTATAGGAGTTCTCAAAATCCTCTCACTTCCGAGCCTAAGCTGCAAAAATCAATTCAGAGAAATGATATATGACTGATAACCATAAAAAAAAAGAAAAGGGAAATGCTTCTCCAACAAGATGCCACAATGAACAAAAAGAAGAGAAATAAAGTAGTTCCTAAGAACATGAACAAAGACTCTTGATTCCTTAGAACTGAAAGCTACTATCGTTGCAAACTGTCAATAAACCAAGATTTAATCAACATGTAGACAAACAATTCTACGTTGGGTTCAACTGAAAGGGTAGTTATACAGTTTGAAGAAACATTACAAATAGATTAATGCAAGAGTTTTCCTACTCTCAATCAAGAATTATCCCTCCAACTTAATCCTACTATCAATCACTCAGGCTAATTCCTTTATTTTCATGCGTATTTGTTTCTTATCAGATTGAAAATCATTCTCAACTGAAATTGCCTGCACATTTCTCAAAGGGCCTTCACTTTTTAAGGATTTTGGCATAATTGATGGAGGCTAATAGATTTTTATAAATTTAAGAGTTCACATTATTTGGCAAATGTATTGGTAAATGGAACGCTCCCCTTAATTTATTCTGGAAAGATAAAACAGCAGTTTTAATTAAGCTGAGATATTAATTTATGCCACAGAGCAGAAGCGCACACACAATAAACACAGAATAGCATGAATACTATTGAATTATTGTTACAGAAACTGTTAACTCACTTGTTGAAGCGTAAATCTTAACAATTCTTAAATAAAATGAATCCCTTTCCTGATGCAATTCGTAGATGGAATACCCAAAACAATTCATTGCGGAAAATTCACATTTGGATCTGGAAATTATTGATGAAATGTCAAACAAATGTTTTGCATGAAATTCATAGGTGTCAAATTGAATGTCACCTGATGTAACTCATGCACTTGAATCTGGATCATAGACAGAAAGGCCATCAATTTCGACATAGGGAATATCAGCAATGGTTGGCCAGTAGTCTCCTTTGTATTTCAAACACCTTTTCTTAAGAAGTGTGCAGCCTCCAATCAAAAGGCTAGAAAGCTTGTCAACCCGGTCTTCCATAGGCAATGCAACAAGCTTTGGGCATTTGTCAATGACTAAATGCCTTCTGATAGAGTTTTCAGATTCGGCAGCTCATGCAACTCCAACTTAGACAGAGATGGAGGAAGCACGTAATGTCCTTCATTAGTGAAGGACCCCAGCTCTGGATTTCCACCAAAGAGGAAATGACGAAGAGAAGTGAGTTTCTGTAGGTCCAACTCCACCAGGGGCTTTAGGTTCCCGCAATGCCTGATTGAAAGTTGGAATAGAATTGGGGGAACATTTCCTTGTGGAAAGAGCTCTGTTAATGATGGACAATAACCCACCACCAGGTACACAAGAGACAAGCAGTTCCATCTGATCAGGTAAGGACTTTAGATGTTGACAACCATATATATGTAGACTTCTCAAATTTGGGGTAGGCAAACCTCCATGGGGAAACAACTCCAGACCATCACAAGAATATATATATATAGGCGAGTGAGACATGAGTAACTGTAGCCATGTCCTAGTAAATTTGTCATGTTCAAATTCACCCAGCCATTAATAATTAGATCTTTAAGTGTGGTGCTGCAATTCTGAAGCGACGACATCATCTTCAATGATGGACAATTGTCTATAACCAGCACGTCAAGACGAGCTATTATATTAGGGAACAACTCCAGAGCTCCACAACTCCATATCAGAAGATTCCTAAGATGAGGAAGAACATCAATCTCTTGAAGAGACAATAGCTGAGGACAACTTTCAATAGACATTTGTTGTAGGTTGACTAGGCATTGCTCAGTGTTATCACTTGGCCAGAGAGTCACAAGGTCATCACAATCAATAACTTCACAATTTTCAAGTGTAAAAGGAAACTGCACGAATGCTTTGAAAAATGAAGTTAATCCAAAAATTCTAGTCAATCTTAATTGGGTTAAAGATTCCAAATGGTGCACATGATTTAGGACCACCCCCCTTACACTTTGTACTTCTAATTCACGAAGGGATAGCTGTAAGATATTTGAAAGGCTGACCAATTTGGGACATCTTCTTATGTAAAATTTACATAGCTGAGGAAATTCGATAACACCGACTTCTTGAGCTACTGCAAGCCATTCCTCCCAATTTGGCATGTCCCCAAACATCAGACTGCTAAGCAATGGAAAAGGTAATTCTCCATGGCCTCTACTCCCATAAAATTCAGCTCCGATCACTTTTACTTGATCCATGCCTCGAATGCTCAATTCTCTTAGCATAGGTAGCTTCCCTAATGGAGGCAAAGATGTGCAATTTTTACAAAAATCGAAGCTTATCTTTGCCAAATTAAAGAATCCTGAATCTCCAATCCAATTAGAGAATTTTGCATCCCCGTAATGGTCAATTTCAAGTCTTGATAAGTTTTCATGGGGCTTTAATGCATTAAGCACATCCAATTCAAGAGTTTTATCCCGGGAACCATCAAAGTCTTTGCTCCATGCCAACCTTATTTCCTTAAGGCCTGTCTTATCCATTAGCCTCGCATCCATTGCTTCTTGAACATTCACAACATTTTGCAATTCCTCAATCAAAATATCACCTTGTAGAACTGACAGATTGCCCAAGTCCTTTAACCTCATTCCGCTGCTTTTACTTACAATCATCTTAGATAATGTTCGTAAACTAGTTAGTTGAGCAATTCCCTAAGGCATCTCATGTAAATTAGTAGTACCAGAAATGTCAAGATGGCAAAGATTAACAAGATTTTCCATCCTTGTGGGTAATTTGACAAGTATGAAACAACCTCTTAAAATCAAAACCCGTAAGTTTATAAGGTTACTCACAAATTCAGGCAACCACTTCAGTGAAGTTTCAGCTAGTCCTAGGTATCTTAAATGTCTCAAATCACCAACAGTATTTGGCAATTCATATATTGAATAACCATTTAACAATAGCACTCATAAGCAGAGCAAATTTGGTAATAGGTGAAGCAAAATTCTTTAGGATATAAAGAACTCTTGATAATCCACCTTCTTCACAATGGGTAGTGGCAAAAAAGTTCTTAATCTTTGACCATCCTTGAGAAAATTAAATCTATGGTATGATTCATGGCCACAACGGATGAATGACAAGTGACGTACCTTTTCAGAAATCTTGGTGGGAGAATTTTCATTTAGCACATCGTCTATCCTCAAACATTTATCACCAGCAACAAACAAAGCTAGATCATTAACGAGGTCATGCATCACTAAGAGTGAAGAATTGGCAATCGATTATTGGAAGAATGATGTAGCCAATAGTTCATCAAAATATTGACTGCCTACTTCTTTCTTTGATTCCTGCACAAAACCTTCCGCCATCCAAAGGTTTGCTAACTCCAGCTTGTCAAACTCATAGTCCTTAGGAAAGAGTGCACAGTAAGCAAAACATCTTTTCAACTGAGGAGGAAGGTATTGGTAACTCAATTTTAGAGCTGAAAGAATTTCGCTCTTCTCATCAGCCATCCAGATCTTACTTTCCAACACCTCTTCCCATTCTTTTGGACCTTTCGTACGTAGAAGCCCCTGAAGGGCCTTTACTGCCAGTGGCAAGTTCTTACATCTTCTCACCACAGACTTACAATTATCTCTTAAATCTAGATTTGCATCAATATTTTTGCCTCCAAATGCTTGTTGAACTAATAGTGACACAGCGTCGTCCTCAGATAACTCAGTCACATGATATGCTGGAATATGAGACATGATTTTGGCTACCCCCTCTTGTCTAGTTGTAATGATGATTTTGCTTCCAGATTTTCCAGAAAGGAAAGGACGGCGTAGGATATCCCAATCTCCATAATTTTCATTCCAAATATCATCTAAAACTACTAGGAATTTCTTGTTTGAAAGATTTTCCTTTAGTGTGACCTGAAGCATGTTAAAGTTTCTATAGTCACTCTTTCCAGAAGAAACCGACTCAAGAATGCATTTTGTTACCTTAAAAGCATTAAAATTATCTTTAACGCAGACCCATGCCTTGAGATCAAACTTATGCTTTAATCTTTCATCATTGTACACTAGCTGCACAAGAGTTGTTTGCCAACACCTCCCATGCCCACAATTGGAATAACAGATACTGGACTATCATTTGATTCAATACCCAATAAGATTTCGAGTATTTTCTCTTTGTCCTCTTCTCTTCCATGAGATGCAGGACGAATTAAAAAAATAGAAAGAAGAAGCAAGAAAGAGGGGAGAATCGGAGAGAATGGGGAGAGAAAACGGAGAAGAAGCAGAAATTCATGGGGGAGAGGGGAGGGGAGAGCCATAGGCAACAAACCACCAAAATATTCTTCAATTCATCAAAACTAATGAAAAGGTTTAAATAGTAAAGACTAAAACCCTAAGTAGAATGGACTTGGGCCAACACAAGCCCAATTACATAAATAAAATTTAAAACATAAATAAAACCCAACTAAAAATAAATAAAAAGTAGATGTCCTCATCAACTCTCTCGGGGTGGGAGAAAAACTCAACCCTGTCGAGTTGATAGATAGTATAGGCTGCAGTCAATCTGATACTCCAAATGAGTCAAATCAAGCCACGGCAGACGATCTTTCTGACAAACCAAGTAACGAAATTCCATGATTGATAGTATTGAAAACTGTAGCTTATTCCCAATAATATGATCTGACCAAGGGGGCGATCTTTCCTTCTAACCAAGTACTGATACTGGACTCCAAATAACCAATACTCATGCACCTCATCTTCAAGATTTTCACATGATTGTATATAATGAGGAGCATAAGAAGCACGTCAATCTACCCAACAAACAAGATAGTATTGAATCTTGTCATCATTGGTCAATACAACACGTTCATCTAAAATAACATCAATTTTATCTTTGTGTGCTGTGATAGATGGTATTGAAGTAGAAATATCAACATAGTCAAGCTGGGGGTCCATAAAGCTAAGTAGAAATAGATCATCAAAGGAAGTAAAACAGAGTTTGTAAGTAATGAAGTCCTCAATATTAAAAGCAAAGTGGTAGCCAAAATGTGATGAAAGGGCAATGACATGTGCATTTGAATAAACATGCTTTAACATTTTTAAAGGATAAGCATTACAAGCTTGCAATATAACATAATCCCCAATATTAAATTCAAAATATCGTTTATGCGAATCAGCCTGAAGTTTATATAATGCATTACTTGCGTTATGTTGTTTATTGATCTCAATATGCAATTTATGAAAATGTGATACAACTACCTCAACTGACATAAACACACTAGCATGTGGGTACATGGGAATAAGATCTAAAGGTTTCCTAGGTTCACAACCATGAATAACTTTAAAGGAATTTAGACCTAAAGACCAGTTCACAGGATTATTATATGTAATTTGAACAGTTGGAGGAATCAAGTCCCAATTCTCAAGATTTTTCTAAACTAGAGACTTGAATAAATTGCTAGGACAATGGTTAACGACTTCATTTTGACCATCAGCCTGTGGTTGGTCTGCAGTGAAGAATTTCGATTTAGTGCTAACCATAGGCAATTGGGTTCTATAAAAATGACTAGGGAAATCATGGGATACAGAATATGGAGTCCCAAAAAGAGCTTGGATGCCACCTAAGGAGGTGTCCTCACTATCATCATCAAAATCTTCAAGTTTAGGGTCATATGCTAGATCTTCTAACGACTCTTCTATTGCATTCTTTCGTTCTTCTATGAATAAGGCTCGGTTAGGACATTTGGAAGAGATGTGGCCAAAATCCTTACAGCTGATGCATAGCAAGTGAGAAGTATTTGGAGTTTCAAAAATTATACCCTTATTTTCCAAAATTGGAGGAACACTAGACGGAGGAGGTCCTAGAAGGGACTTAACAAGAGGAAGTGGAGCCAATGAAACCAAAGGATGATTGTTGTTACGCTTTCTACATGAAGAAGATGACCTTGGGCTATCACGACCTTTACAGCTGATACATAGCAAGTGAGAAGTCTTTGGAGTTTCAAAAATTATACCCTTATTTTCCAGAATTGGAGGAACATTAGATGGGGGAGGTCCTAGAAGAGACTTACCAGGAGGAAGTGGAGCCAATGAAACCGAAGGATGATTGTCATTACGCTTTCTACATGAAGAAGATGACCTTGGGCTATCACGACCTTTACACTTATTTTTCCAAAGGGAAGAACACTAGACTGGGAAGGCTCTATGATAGACTTATGATGAGATGACACTAATGAGATGGGTAAATGATAGTGATCACGCTTTTCATATGCAGTACTAATAAGTAACTCGTAGTCCCAAGCTGAAGAGTAAGCTTGATCAAGAGTAGTGATGCCTCGAAAGAAAAGCTCACGCCTAAGTTCATCTCGTAGACCTTGTATAAACCTACTTAAAGCCAGGGCCTCATCCTCAACGACATGACATTTCACTCGAAATTCCTCAAATTGAGCAATGTACTCAGTTACTAGCCGATTCTTTTGTGTAAGGGTGTTCCATTGGGTAAAAATTTCATGATCTAAGCAACCATCGAAAGTAGGAATATCTAAGTCAATGTCTCTAAAGAAACGCTCCTTACGACAAAGAAGAGAATGAGTACCATAATGACCATGGCCTTGTTCTCGCTCACGAACCTGATCCCTATTCCTACGATCGCGTAAAAAATATTCTTGATCACTTTGTTCACGATGATATTGTTTATTATGAGATGCTTTAGAATTAGTGTCAATCAAACGAGGGGTTCGCTTAAAATTTCTCAACTTAGCAGCTAGGGTCTTTCCCTCCTCACGAGTAGCAGTTATATCTTATTGGACAGTCAATAGGTTAGTAGCAAGTTACGCTAATTGTCTAGTGAGTGCATCAAATTGGGATGGATCCATGGTCAATGTATTGGAAATAGAGACAACAAGACGATCACTACGCAACTACATGCAATGTAATACCAGCTAAATGATGTGCTATGATGAGATCAATAAACAATACGTGCAAGCAATGAAAAATAACATGTACCAATTTTTTTAATTTAATTTTAAATATTATGATTAATTAAATCCAAAAACGAGCTAATACTGCTGGTACATGTAAAATGACAAAGCAAGGGTCAATACACTAGTCAAACTCTCCAATCAATTTAAGTGGAGAACAATAGAAGTCAATTTGGTCACTGGTGTCAATTCGATTAATGGTTTCGATCAAGTGGGGTTTAAGGCTAAAATTATCACGATAACAGCAACACAAGATTTTAATTGACACAATTTTAAAAATGAAGCAGTAGTACAAACCAATACAAAATAGAGATCAATGACTCCCTGTTGTTTAGTTTTGATTATTTGTATGCCGATTGATCTGAATTGCTGACTTATGAGCCCCAACTATGCTTCTGTTCTTCCCTTCGTGTCCAATGGTTTTAGCCCTTGTTGACTGTAACTTGTGTTGGTTCTGGTGTGGACGTAAAACCGTGTGTGGTGACTGTGGCTTTTAGATTATTGAGCTGGACGAGGAAATATATGAGTGTGGTAATTGTGGTAGAAGTGTATGATCGTGGGTTGGTGGTGGTGGCCTATGGCGATGAAGCAGTAGTTCTCTGGATGCCTGGGTACAATAGATAATGAAGTGGTGGTGTGATGGTGATTAGAGGCAGCAGCGACAAGAGAGTGGCTGTGAGAGAGGAATCGGGTGAAACTGTGGGGTATTTGATGTTAATGGATTAGTTATAATCGGGTTTGGTTGGATATTTGGGATTGGACCAGATGGGAAGGGGCTTGGATCCTGTTATAGAGATAGGCCAGCTGGGGTTAGTGTTTGGGGAGTGGGTTTGAATTGGATTAAATGTGAGTAAGTTTTAACTGGGATTGGGAGTAATTTGGGCCACTAGTTTGTGGCCCAAAGTCTTAATAAGAGAAATGGGCTCGAGGATAATAATTATATGTGGATATATGGATTATTATAGGGTTGGGTTAACGTAAAGTGAGCTGATCTTGTATGTAGGCTGAATGTAAGTAGGGTTTGATTATTAGGGATGAAATTTATGAAACAGCACACTTAGCAGCAGCAAACGCCTAAATTTCTAAAACTGATTTTATTTATTTATTTATTTATTTGGTGGGAACTGCAGAAAATGATAAATAAATAAAAAATGAAATTTCGGGTGTGAACAGTACCCGTGAACAATAACTTTTTTTTTTGTGAAACTGCTAAAAAATCTAAATAAAAAAAACTAAAATTTCGGGTGTGAACAGTACTCGTAAACAGTGACTCTTTTTTTCCCCTAATCAACTAGAAAGAAAACAAGAAATTTTTTTGTGCTGTTCCACAAGTTTTTGGGAATATGATATAGAAGAAACTTTTGGATTGTGATGAAAAATTACCCTAATTTTGGCTCTGATACCAAATTTGATGCAGGACGAATTAAAAAAAATAGAAAGAATAAGCAAGAAAGATGAGAGAACCGGAGAGAATGGGGGGAGAAACCGGAAAAGAAGCAAAAATTCATGGGGGAGAGGAAGGAGAAGCCATAGGCAACAAATCACCAAAATATTCTTCAATTCATCAAAGTTAATGAAATTATATCGCAATTAGATTTAAATAGTAAAGACTAAAACCCTAAATAGAATGGACTTGGGCCAACACAAGCCCAATTACATAAATAAAATCTAAAACATAAATAAAATCCAACTAAAAATAAATAAAAAGTAGATGTCCTCATCACCATGAACTTCAGATTCTACCACAAGTGAAGTCATTTGCAATCTTTCTCCAGTTCCATAGTGCCTCCCCCTCATATTCTCCACCAAACTTAGAATCTTAATATGATTTAATAGACCTTCCAATTGGCTACTAATCTCCTTTAGTTTGGAGGAAAACTTCAGATCAGACATGAAATGAGCGAAAGAAAGACTAGGACAACATGTGGGGATAAGCTTCTGTACCTTACTGGTGCTGCCCTTATTTTCCTTCAATTTGCGCAGTGAAGCTTTAGTGTTCAACTCATCCACTAAGTCATCAAGATCATAAGCCAAATCTTCCAGATCATTCAGCCACTGATTCACAGCTCTGTTTGTTGTTTGCTTGTTTTCCGCATCAGTAAGCACAGCCTCGATCATCAACAATTTTCTGTGCTAGTCTTTTAGCTAGGCATCGATACCTACACGACACAGAAATTTTAGAAGCTCGCGCGAGGCCAGCTTCTCAAGCAAAACCATGAGAAATGCACCTAGAAAAACTTCGACTATAGCCATTGTTAACTTTTTTTTTTTTTCTTGACAACAGGAAGCAATAGATGAGAGAGATGAGCGCAAGAGGTTGACTTGTAATATATCAAAGTCTACTATTGTGGGTGAGTAATCCAATTGGGAAATACATGAAATTGACCCAAATAAGAGAGGTCATTTTCCAAAATGGCTCTTGACTTTTCCAAACATTTGGACCTAGCTAAAATACCCTTAAACAAATATTAAAAATAACCTATTTCATAATAAAAATCTTTTATCTAAGTCCTTAGGAAATGAACAAGTAATTTTTCTAAAAATTTGAAAGAATTATTAATGAATATTTATAAAATGAAAAAACTCAAATATAAGAGAGGACCATATGATATAAAAAAGGCTGTTAAAAATAAAAAAGAAATTAAGATTGAAAAAGAAATTGATAAGATAGGATATCAAGAACAATTATATGCATCACAAGAAATATTAAAATGTTTCAAAGAAAACTTATTAGAAAATTTTGATAAAAGAATTGTAAGATCAATAATCATAAAAGATATACAAGATATCATAGATAAATTAGAAAAAATGAAGAAAAATATCTCAAAATACGATATACTTTTTAGAACAGACAAAAAAATGATAACAGATATTGATATTATAAATTCTCAGACACTACTAGACTTTGAAGAATTACTTAAAAATTTATGAGAAGACCAATAAAAAAATAGATTACTACAAGCATACAAAAAATTAGTTTTTAACCTTACCTTAAGATTTTATACACGCTTAATAACAAATAGATTAACTAAAACAAAAATAAAAGAATTTTTAGATTATTAGATTTTTGATTATTAGATTTTTGATCACTCATAGTAGCACCCATCCTGTTGGTATCAGAGCCAGAGAGATCATGAGAAAATATATAAATATAAATTACCTAAAAGATATTGAAAATAAATAAAATTAATCATTGAAAAGATAAAGAAAGACCCAAAAGTTTATGATTTTAGAAATTAAACTTATAAAAATAGACTAAGGTATCAGGTAAAACGTAGTTCTAATATAGAAGGTTATATAGAAGAAGATAATATAGCTGGAACATATAGTAAAGACATAAAAGAAGTATTAGAAATTTTTAGAGTAATTAAAAATCTACCTTTAGAACTAAAAGAAAAAATAATTAAAAAGATATTATTTGAAGAATATAAGCAATATATATATATATATATATATATATATATATATATTAGAAGAAATCCAGAGTGAATAGATTTCATAGTAATTTGAAAATAATAATAATAATAATATTTTATTATGAAAATCATAAAAATAAATAATTATTATCAATGTATTGAAGAAAAAGGATGTTATATATTTTTCAACCCTATTCCTAATAAATTAAAAATAATAACATTATATGTAACTAGGAATTTATCTAGAGAAATAAAAAAACAAATATTACATAAATTAATTGTAGGATTTATCAAAGATAGACGTACATATGAAATAATTATCGAAGTATTTGAAAATGAATTATATCATAGAGAAATATTTGAATCATCATAAAAATAAAATGGAAGAAACTAAAAATATTTTGGAAAGAAAGTTAAGAAGAATAAGATTAATAAATAATAAAATTTTAGATGAATTATTAATACCTAGAGATATGACTAAAACTCAAGAAAAACAAATATTAAAATTAAAACAAGAAAGGTATAAAGAAAAAGCAAGATATTATGAAAAATTAAAAGAACTAACAAATATTGAAGTTATAAAACAAAAGTATGATAAAATGATAAGAGATTGTAAAAATGCTGAGTATATAGTATTTTATTATTGTCAATCAAAAAATCGATAAAAGAAAATGTCAATCAGTGAACATATGAAAGAATTAAAACATTTAATAAGAACATTAATAAATGATGTACAAGAAATAAAGAATGAAATAAAAGAAGCAAGAAATTATATAAATATATTGAAACTTGAAGTTAGAAAATTAAAAGAAAATGCAAAAAATAATAATAGAATCGATAAAAAATTTATAGAAAAAAAAAATAACCAAAATAGGGAAAAATATATATTGAAAGGAAAAATATAATAATAAAAACAGGAAGCATGGATGATGAGTTTAGAAAAAATATATTACCTAAAATATTAGAAGAAGATGAATCTAGAGAAAAAATGTTAGGTAAACAAAAAATTGAAGAAAGTCAAGACAAAGAAAATGAGTGAAGAATTAGATCTACTTATAGATAATTTTGATCATTTAAACTTAGAAAGTATAAATGATGAATACCAAATCTTGATGAATACTGGACGAAGACATAATCACATAGGTACCTCTAAACAAAAATCAATAGATCCAGATGAAATTTATGCTCCAATGTATAATAAACCATATAGACAATTTTATGATAAAATAAGATAAAAACAATCATCTAAAGGAAATCAATATAGTAATAGATTCGAATTAAATAATAATTATGATAAACCTGTTAACCATGGAGGAACAAAATTAGACTTGGATTGCAAAATAGACACGAAGAAAGCCTTAATAATTTGGGCAGACTCAATGATATTATTCTTTTTATTTAATAAAGATGATATATGGGAAAATACTGAAAGGAGAATAGATTTTTTAATTGCATATTTTGAAGGAAATGTTAGAAATTGGTGGGAAGGAATTAGTAGTGATACAAAATCATTAATAAAAAGAAATGTAAAAACAGAAATAATAAAGTCAGATAAACTAGGAATAGAAAGATTAGTAGAATATATTACAGATGAATTCTTAGGAGAAAATTGGTTAAGAAATTATGAAGAAGAAGCATTACGAGAAAAAGATAATGCAAGAGTTAAATTAATTAATTTAACAATTTGTGATATATGTAAAATTAAATAATATACTTGTAAATTCAAGGATTACTATTATACTCAATTTTATAGTAATGAGAATCAAGAAATATATCAAGATATGTATTACAATAAATTACCAGGATCATGGGGAATATATTTTAAAATAGAATTTGAAAAATATATTAAAGAAAATATAGGAATACCTAGAACATTAGGATCAAGAATAAAATTCTTGTTTGAAAGACTTGCATATATATGTCAACAAAGACAATTTTTGAAAAAATCAGGAAAATTAACTAGAATATGTTTTGAAGATATGAAAAAACCTACAAGATGGGGATGTAATTCTGAAAAAAAGAAATAAAAGAAATTATAAAAATAGAAAGTTTAAAAAATATAGAAACTTTAAGAAAAAATATATAAAACCTGGAAGGAAATGTTATAAAAGAAAAAATAATATACAGAAAAATAAACCTTATAAAAAAGATAAAAAAAATGTAAGTATTGGAATTGTGGAGAAATATGCCATATAAGTCCTGATTGCACAAAGAAAAAGGTGAGAATATTACCAAAAAATTATTTTGAAATAGAAAGTGAATTAAGTGAAATATCTGATATTGAACGTTATTATAATCAGGAAATATTTATAAGTGAAGCAGATTCAGAAGATAATGGATCAGAATCTGAAAAGAGATATTGAAGAAATAGAAAATAATAACATACAAATCCAAAAGTATGAGGAAATAGAAGGTTATGGATTAAAAGTAACTTTTGATAATAATAAATTTAAGAAAATACAAAAGTTATCCTTAGATTTGAAAATAGGAAAATGGGAAATTTTAGATAGAATATGGAGAAAAGAAGAGAATGAATAGGAATAAATGAATACCATAAGATTGAAAAAATAATAGATGTCAAGACAACTCAAGGATCACATAAAATAAACATTTTAACAAAAAGTACAGTATCAGAATTATTATAAAAAATAAGTAAAAAACATAGTGAAAAGATCTAATATGTTTGTTTAGCAGGAATACAAATAATGTTTAAATCTTTATTTAGGGAAGGAATAGATTCACCATTAACTGTAAATTTACATGATGGAAGAATTATAAATCTTGAAGATGGTCATTTAGGAACTATAGAAGGAAATTTAGTATATCAAAAGTTAATATTTACTTGTTACTCAAAATATTGTGTCTCATTGAAAGATAAAAACTTTAATGAAGTTTTAGGATTACATTTCAAATTACATAGAAATGATATAATGGAACCAGGAGATCAAACTATGACAATAGAATATAGGGCATTATATATATTTACTAATTCTAATTATGGGAATATTTATTCTAATAAACCATACATAGAAATTCATAAGGAACCATACATAGAAATTCATAAGGAATGTAAGGATATTAGTAAAATAGTGGAACCAAACAAACAAATAAATCTTATTCCAGAAGAATATGAATTTAATATAACTAAAAATAAGCCTGAAATAACAGAGTTAAGAAAAGAAGAATATTATAAAATAACATTTCATAATGGAAGGTTGATAAAGAAATCAAAAAGTCTTAGACTACCTAATAAAAAGGAATATTTAGGAGAAACTAGTGGTATAAAAGAAATAAAACCTCGTGGAAATATTGGAAATATGAAAATAGAAGGAAAATATTTTAATGGTAGAAGGTATATAAAAGGACCAAATATATTGAAAGATACAGGAGCTGGTGAATGTGATATAGCTGCAACTAAAAATGAAGGATTAATGACTTACAAGATAGAACCATGTGAATATAGAAATTTTGATGGACAATTATATATTACAGAATTAAAGGTAAAAGTACCAATAAAAATAGGTGGGATTGATCTCTTAGTACCATATTATTTGGATGAAAGTATGGATATTGAACCTCATATATTATTAGGAATGAGTTTCTTAAATAGATTAGAAGATTATAGTATAAAAAGAGAAGGGTTATATGTAACTCATAAAGGACAAACTACATTATGTAAAATAGGAAGTGGATGAATAATCAAATAAGTTTTCCATTA